TGTATTGGCGTTGTAATGCCATTGTATGCAATAAAGTATTGGGTTGTAACTGAAGACAAAACCGCAAGCATTACACAAAAGTTTTACCTATAAATGTAATTGGCTTAGCTTCGGGGATGGTGTTGATAGGGTAGGATATTTCCCCGGAGGGGTAGCCGGCCGGGTTGGGGGTTAGGGTGTGGGGTTAGGAGGTGGGGTTAGGCGTTAAGGGTTAGCAGGTGGGGTTAGGGGTTAGAGGTTAGGGTTAGGATTAGGGTTTGGATTAGGATTAACGTTTGGATTAATTGTAGACCCATTGTAACCCAATACTTTATTGCATACAATGGCATTACAACGCCAATACATTATTCGTTACAACGTGCGGAACGGCTGTATTGACCGGTCAATAATAAAACGGGTGCAATACGCATGCGTGTCAACCATGAAGTTCCAAAGTTCAATTTTTAACCTTTTTACTAAACATTTACGGCGTTCCATTTATGACTTTGACACTTATATACTATATAACAAAACACTTATTTACTGAGACCTCGGGAAAGCAGTGTGTTTTGTGACCCCTCGACCGCCGTTGTTGCCCTCGGTTGTTGCCGAGACGGCGGTCTCGGGTGCACAAAACACACTGTTTCCCTCGGTCTCAGTAAATAAGTGATAAATATACCTATATAGGCCTACATAATTGCATGCTGTATACCATGCAGTGTTCGTTTAATTTATTACCAACATGCATGAGCTCCACCTTTGAATCTACTATATGAGTTAATTGTTAAACACGTCCGAATTAAATCCGCAATATATGATAAATTAATTCTCGGCACATTTTGAAATTATGAATAGAATAAATCATAATTAAAACCACAAGCATTAGACAAGAGTTTCGCCGGGGTGGGGAGATCTTCAAAAAAAGTTTAAAAAAAGTTAGGAACTATAGATTCTGTTTCGAAATATCACTTACTCGAACTGCCCTGACCGCGTAGCTCAGTTGGCAGAGCATTGGGCTAATATTCCAAAGGTCGTAGGTTCGATTCCCCCCGTTGCCGGGCGTATTTTTCAAGCTCGCCCGGTGTGGATATACACTCAGAGTAACATCACAAACATCATAGTTTAAAAAGTTAGATTTTAAAAGTTAGATAAGGGTTAGGGGTTATGGTTGGCGTTAGAGTTAGTGTTAGGGGTTAGGTGTCGCGAATTTATCATATTGATAAATTTGCGGGACGTGTTTAACAATTTACTCATATAGTAAATTCAAAGGTGGAGCTCATGCTGTTTATTACCCTGGCTATAAAGCATAACGGTCAAAAGACTCGAATGATATAGCCACGGTTACTGGAATAGAACTGATATATAGTACTGCATGTTTCTGTAAAGGTGCGGGTATTAGTTGTTTGGGTGATATTCTATTATTATAAGGTACGTCGTATCAAGTTTACCTGCATGAAGATGAAACAGCATTTATTTTATAAATTTTTTCGTTTCATGTAGGGATGAAAGCGTAACCGCCTTTAATTTCTCGGCGACAATGATTCCGCTTGTTTAACTGATTTATTACACTTACTAATCAATGTTTTATTGCCGTATATTAAATTTCTAAATAAGTAATAAAGAGGAAATGTGCCATTGTGAGTCATTGTAAATGTTATAGCATTTGATGGCAGATGATTCGGCTCGGAAATGGGAAATGGGAAAAGGGAATAATGGTATAAATGAGTGCCTAAATTTCCGTTGTTATTTAGCTATAGGCTAAGATTTGCATTTAAGAATTGTAATTTATCTTCTGTGAGCAAGTTAAATTTATAGAAAGAGTAATGGTAAGATACTTAATTTGAGAACAAGGTTCGGTGATATATTATTGACACCTATATTAAGAAAAACTATTATGAAAGAACGCTGCAGATCCATAGCTACCCTGGATTCCAGAGCCTTCGACAGTAAATAATAAATTGAAACGTCGCGAAGGCTCGGATTCAACGGGGAGATTCTTTGATTAAACCGCGCCAATCACAAAACAGAATTAGTGGTTTTAGTACAGATTTAGTACAGTTACTGTCGAAGGCTCTGGAATCCAGGGTAATAATCCATAGCAAAAACGATCGACGTTTTTACTTAACGTACAAGCAGGATCTAGCTTTCGAACTGATGAGCAACATGCCATTGCCGAGGCACAAAACAAAATTTTGGACCCATTTAGTAAAGTTGGATCTGTATAAGCAAATGTAAAACGAAATAAACAGAGCCTTTAACGTGTGCATGCATGGGAATTAATATTGACTCGGCTATCATTTTCCTGTATATCTATTAACACTGTTAATAGTTATATAAATATACAGTAAGAATAACCAACATAATTTTTTAAGCAATAACGAAAAGTATATTCGCGCATTCAAATGTAGCTGCTAAATCTCAAAGTGATGCTCTTTCATACAGCGGTTACGTCTGCACCATAGCCGCCCGCCCTTGGGCCTGCACGCGAGCTAGTCTGCACCATTATAGCCTACACAATGCATGCACGCGCGCACAACTCGTGAATCGTTCGCAGGAAACAAGATGCGGCTTGCATGATGCAGCTCTGTTTGCGTCATTTTAACTCCGGGACCGGGTGCTGATTATTTTGATGATGGGGCCGGGAGAATTCCAAGTAATGTATACCCTTCACATTTGTGTATACCCTTACACACCATTAGATTATATCAATATATATATATCAGTTTATGACCTGCAAGATCCAGTTACTATCGTATAAGGAAAAATATACTCTTCATTCATCATCCCATGCATGTATATGCAGTTATTTAGTTTCGTCTATTCTTTTATTTATGCAGTAGTTCACATGCATATTGCTTAAGCAATATACCTTCGTACGTATAAAAGGACTTTGCAGATCCGCACTTTTGAGTGTTAATTTTGCCTAAACATTTTTTACTGGTTTCCATGAAAGCATTAGACCGGTTCTACTATCTGACCAAGTTTGAATGAAAAATGTTGAAAACTCGCAGAGTTATTTAATTGAATACATTTCACTGTATAAGAAAAACATTGAATTTTAAAATGTAATATTCAAATTCAATTTTCTCCCGAAGAATTTTACGGCAATTACTGATTTTCAAACGAGTTGTTCTCCTGCGGGTTTTAACCATTTTTTCTCAAATTTTCACAGGACATAGCTACAGACGACAGTTTCAAAACTGTGTTCGGCTTTTTTCTAATTTTGGATATTTTAATAATAAGGAGCAATTCACTCAAACGATTCAGAAATATATTTCAGGAGAGTCTGAATGGGGTTAACTGACTATTGACATTTGCCTGAATTTTTTACTGACAACTGACAAAATATCCTAACTGAGAATTGATGAAAAAATGATGAGTCAGCATTTGACAGTAACTGACTACTGACACCTTGCAATATATCGCACTGACAACTGACAACTGGCTTAAATTTTAGCTGACAACTGACACCCAAAGACCCCCATTAAGACCCTCTTGCAGTCGTCAAAGAAATTGCCATATCAGCGGAATGACGAAATAAACAAAACTCCGAACACAATTTTTTAGAACAACTATTTTACTGTATAAAAATTATATTTTTATAAATATATCTTAAAACCAGCAGGAACATAACTCAAAAGCGTAAAGGTACCGCGATTTACGATTTTCCTGAATAATTCTTATATTATTTTATTGTTTGTCAATTTTACAACTTTACCATATTTTGCATGCACTGGAGAACATTTGGTGAAAATTTGATGAAAATCGGACTGATATTGAGCGCGCAGTAGCGATTTTCCGCAAAACGCCCAAAAGGGTATCCTGTAACCTAACAATACAATTAGCGCCAGAAATACGTACTATATATACACAAAAACCAAAATTAGTGGCGCATTAAAAAGGGGGTGATCTGAAACAATAGTTTAACTAAATCTGCATGTTGGAAAATGAATCTTCACATCATTGAACTCAGTTTCAATCAAATAATTTCTTGCACTACTAGTTTTAAAAATCACTCTGGAAGACACTTTTTAATCATTTTAACAAGACAATCATGGACGTACCGGAAGGAAAAATTTAGGGGTGGCGGAAAGAAAATTGCCCGACTTTTTGGGATTTTGCCCGACTAGTACCGAAACATTTTTTCCGGAAAAATTATTTTGGCGACCTCACCCCCGTCGCCTAAAAAATTTCGGTCAGTGTACCATTTTAGGGGTCAAAAAAATTTTCACGGAACATAAGACAAATTTTCAAAAAAACAAAAAATTGGCCACCAAATTTACTTAATTTTAGACAAAATTTACAGAATTTGTCCCATTTTTTTTTATTGCAAACCAAAATTGCCCGACTGTTGATCGAATATTGCCCGACTGCCCAACAAACTGGGGGGGGGGGCTACCGCCACCCCCCCCGCCCGGTACGCCTATGAAGAAAATAGAATCCCTTAATAATTATGGTTCAACACAACATATAAAATGATCAGGCCTGAGTACATTTTTCTTTCCATGAAAAGTTACACTATTTATTCATTATATTTACGAAGAAAATTATATACATATATATATGTTAATAAATTCTACTAAACGTTTCTAAATCTACTATTATTGTGTCCCAATGCACTAGTATAATTCCCCAATCTATTTCAGTTTTAACGCAAATTCGTTTAATTTAACCCAGAATATTTACAATATTATACTAAGTACTAAATATTTACAGCGGGCTCGATATTTACATAATACATTTACGCAGTAGATGATTAAATGTTTGGTTTTACTTGCCTACCTTCAATTGCTGTGGAAATGGCATCATCAATACTTATGTTATTCAAAGTCAATTTTAATCGTCCCACATTTCACCTCATTAAATTGTATCTACATTTAAAGGGAATATTTTTTGCGAAAAACAATAATATTTTTACTGAAAGTTTCAGTAGCATGCACTATAAGGTTTCTTGTGAAACATCTTTCGCCAAAATATACGCGGCATGGCGAAAATCACTTGCTTTTACAAGTTAAATTTCATCAAGACGGTACATCGTCATTTTGCATTTTACTGTCTTCAGAAGTCTTCTCACTTTCTAAGTTTTTACTATGTACTTCAGCTTTCAGCCGTAGGTTAGCAATACTCAGATTCCTTGCTTCATCGTCATTATTTTCATCTTTCCCAGACTTCTCTGCGTGTCCAGCTTTCTTGTACATTCCCAGCAGCCACCTAGCGGAGGTTGCATCAGCTAGGTGTGGTGGTAGTGGTAAGGAATGTCGTACCATCGCACCATACAGACCATATTCCGCCATGATTGATGTATTGCCCCAAACTTTCTCCTTCTTACGCCATTTTGCACGACGATTTTGAAACCAAACCTTGAAATAAACAAATCGTGTTTGTTTTCTGCAGCAGTGGTGTGTTGCGTAAAAGGTGTTTTTGCCTGTTGTGTGCA